GGGCGGAGACCCGCCTGCAAGCGCGGGGGCCTCGGGGTGGCCGGGGCCGGGGTCGCCGAGCGAGGCCCGCGGGGCCGCTGCAGCCGCGCTTGCCGTGTCCTCCCGCTGGTGGCGGGCGGGGATGAGGAGGGCGGGCACGTGGCCTTCCCGCGGGGCCTCTGTGTCGTGCAAGCCGTGGGGGCTCTGGGTCCCGCCCGACCCGGCGGCTACAAGCGCCGGGCTCCGAAGAACGGGCTTCTAGAAGGTGCTGCGGCCGATCCTCGGGGCCTGGTTGCCATCCTGGATGGCCGAGTTCAGACTTTGCGACTTTGTGCAAGTGAACTGGGTCTCAGTTCCTCGGTCGTGACATGGACTTAATAAAAGCCACCTCAGGGCCCATTAAATGTGTGCAGAGATGGCGGCACTGTGCGCTCAGCAGTGCTCCGTAGAGGGCGGGAGTGACTGTGGTCAGTCTGCTTTGGACAGGAATGGAGGTACACAGGCGAAGGTCTGTCCTTCTGCCGGACAGGTGAGGACGATGGCCTGCTCATTTTTTTCTTAAGTTGCAAACAGCCATTCTGGATGAGCAATAACTTAAGTTATGATTCAGAGAGGAATATCTTATTTCTAGGCAAACCTCTGCTGAGTAAGAGCTTCTGGGTGGATTCCTGAGGGGAAGGTGGTGAGTCGCAGCCCCTTGTGCCTGTGGGGACCAGGCTTCAGGGGCTTCAGGACTGAAGGGCAAGGCCGAATCAACTGCGGGGTAGGGGAAAGGGGCCGAGTCAGAGCGGAGGCCAAGGGGGCGCTTCAGGATCCTGCACATCCTGGGAGCCGGGCACAGTTATGCTCCCTGACCCATACTGCTGGTTAAAATTTGACCAATCCGAGGTATCTTGAGTTTAAGCAGGGAGGTCAAGCCACCATGGAGGAAATGAGAAGTCGAGTTGGGGAAAGGAGAGAGAGGTCACTGGGAGATATTTCAGGGGTTGGATAGGTTGGGTGATGCTTTGTGTTGCTTTGCCCCCCACGGACTTGTCACCCCTTTTCCCCGGGGTGACGAAGCCACAAAGGATTACTCAAAGCCCATATCTTCTGAGCAGTGAGAGACCCCGAAGTGGTTAACTTCCCTGGGAACACTCAAGCGAGAGGCAGCCCTTCCTCAGGAAATTAACCGTGAATTGGGCTTCTCTTCCTGCATTTATTTTCCAAACCAGGAAGTTACAGGAAGAGACATAGCTGGGGTTATAGTTTAACAATATAGGCTGGTAACTTTCAGTGAAACAAGTCAGATGACATTCCGTTAGACAATTAAGTGATCCATTAACAATAGCTTGATCTTAGCAAACATTCCTTCTTACTGCAACTCTTCAGTAGCTTTACATATCAATCAGTAACTAGTCTGTCCTTTAGCCAGCAACCTGCTGTGCCACAAATCTTTATCTTACACCAGAGACTTATAGCCTGAGGAAAATTTCCAGTCCTCTGCAAGGTCAATATTTGAAACTGCAAGGTTTTGGAATACCAGGCCCTGTGAAGTACATATGCTTTATAGTATATTCCACAGTTGGGAACCCTGAGGACAGTAGCATTGGGGATGGTGAGGAGAGGTGATATTAGTGGGCTCTGGCTCTTTTCTTCCTTGGGGGAGGGGAGGGATGGTTCTCATCTCTCTCCTCCCCAAACTCATCAATGCAGAGGTGACGGGGAGGCATTTCTGGTTGATTCTGGCTCCCTGTGTGGGGCACTGGGGCAGGTCAGAGGGCATTGTCCCGTAAGCCTGTTGTCCTGCCCACTACCACACCTCCTGCTTGACACCTGTGAATGGCCTGAGTCTTCTGGTCTCTGGTCTGACCTGCACTGACCAGTAATTGTGGCTGATGACTGGAAGTATTCTGGCATCTTAGAATTCACTGGACTTTGTCCTGTGTAGGAATTATTCCCAACAAATAGATCTATAATTCCTGGTGTGACAAGAGAGTGGGATTTGCGTTCCTGAATTAGAAAAGCAAGTTACTAGGCTTGGATCCTAACTCCTCTTTGTGAGAAACTACTGTTAAGTAAAAATTATAGGAGCCCCTTGTTTTGGACTAAGCTCCTGCACTAGGCCCCAACAGACCAGAGCAAACTAAAATGGAGCCACTCATGCTGAGGTTCTGAGTCACCAAACCAAAACTGAGTTACCTGACCTGAGAAATCAGGAGAGAGAGAGGACAGCCTAATTTCCCAAACAGGCCAGTTTCAATTGTCACGATAATGAAGTTCACTCCGCTTTAATCCTTACAACAAAAAGTAACCTGAAGTCGCCTGACGTTAATCAGAATTATTTCTCTATTGTTCTGTTTCCCCGTTTCCACCTTACAAGGCGAGTAACTGAAATAACCTAACCGCTCTTTGCCCTTTGTTTCTGTTTTCCTCAGCCCTTTTTCTGCTCAGCTTATTGGAACACTTACTCTACTTTATGGAATGACATGTTTCCTACTTCTAGAATCGCAAATCTAATTGAGGTCTTACTAAATCTGTTGTAATTTTGTCTTTTGACACTACAGAGATGGAAACCTTAAAATCTGGGAATAAAAGGAGGATCCTTCCCTCATGGATGACAGCCCATGTGGCTGAGAAGAGAGTGGTACCGGTGAAGACCCCCAAGAGAAGCAGAATGGCAGCCGTGCCGGTGGCAGCAGCGAGGTGGGACCACTTCTGCCCTGGGGATTCCTGGGGAGAATCAGGACTGCAGGAGGGGCTGGGGCCGGGTCTTCTAGCACTGGCACAACAGTGGGGGAGGCGGGCGTCTCAGTCGGCAGTTTCTGAGCTCCGAGGGGTACAAAGGCTGTGGGTGGGAGGCAGAGTGAGTTGTCCCCTCACAGACAGGCACCCACTTGGGCATCTGTGTGGGCAAGTTCGCCATGGTTGGGCCTTGATTGTCAGCACATGGAGAGTGGGCTGTACACATTAGCCAGGCCCTCAGATGCTAGTTGTCCAAAATGCCAGTCTCTTCGTTTGTGACAAAAATCGTAACATCCCGTGGGCAAGATCAGTGGACCAGGGAGTCCTGTCTCCTACATGATGCCTTCTCTTCCCATGGACGGATCTTGAGGGATGGACAGATGAGCAGCAGGTTACTGGGCCAGCAAGAAATCAGAGGCTGCGGGGGCAGGTAGTTGAATGGTGGGGTCTTCAGGCTGCCAGCATCAACTGGGAGGGGACATCCCTGCCACCCTTCGAGCCAGGACATGGGGTCCTCAGTGCCCGCCTCTCTCCAGCTCTTCCTTTTCTAGGCTTTTCCTTTGTGATTGTGGCAAACTTTCTCTAAACATGTGCTTCGTTCAGGGACGTCCCGGTCAGGTCTTGGCCTGATGGCTGTACCTGCTCGTTTCTGTTGTGTGTGTGTGTGTGTCAGTGTTTGGCTCTCAGGAGCTAGCTGTCATTCCCTATTCCCAGATCCTCACAGAGGGTGGGAAGTCCCCCACTGTGGCCCCCGTGCACCCCCATGCCAGTCACTGTGCCGCAAGGATGAGGAAGTCGCATTCGGACGAGGGAGGCTCCTCAGCACAGAGGCGTTGTCACTCTCATCCTGGTGGGAAGGGTGGGGTATGAGACCCTCTCACTGTCCTTTTCTTCCACCTCATGAGACTGTCCCCACTGACGGCCTCGTGTCTTTGTTTCAGACCCCCTGCCGTGAAGACTGTGTACTGCATGAATGAAGCCGAGATGGTAGATGTTGCTCTGGGGATCCTGATTGAGGTAAAGTCACCGTGTCTCTTCCCTTTTGCAGGACCAGAAACTCTTCATGGGCAGAAAGTAGGCCAGGCCCTTGGTCACTGTCAGTAAGAGAGCCACCTTGCTTTCCCAGGCTGCCTCGGGGGTCCCACTGCTCTGCAGCCTGCCACGCCCCTTGCCCCTTGCCTAGCTCTCCCAGTCCCGCTCCCCTCGGCTCTCCCCCCATGGGTGTGCTGCGCCCTTGCCCCTTGCCTAGCTCTCCCAGTCCCGCTCCCCTCGGCTCTCCCCCCATGGGTGTGCACCCTGTGGGCTGAGCCTCTGGGCTAGATGCCTGGGGAGGACGTGGGTGTGCGAGGGAGAGCATGACCTGTTTGGGGGTGACTCTGTGTAGTTGTATGCACCTGGAGGGGACGTGAAGCATTTACTTGTCTGTGTTCTCAGGAAGGGTCTCAGCGGGGTGAGATGATTCTTAACCTTCGTACCTGTCCTTGGTGGAATGCCGCTGGACTTTCCTGCTTCCTGAAGTCATGACAATTGCACCGCCTTAGAGTCGTACAGTACTTTATAGTTGGCCAGGAGCTTTTATATAGTGTGTTATCTCAATCCTGACAGTAGCCCCATGGCCTAGTTAGTTTAGGTACTATTATCCCCAGGAAATTGAGACTCTGGGACTTTTCCTTAGATCCACAGACAATAAGTGACCAAGCTTGGGCCACACCCGTATTTTGTACCCTGGGCTGCTTCCCTTCTGTCACCCTGCCTTTCCAGACATGCTTTTTCTATTTGTTTCTTTTTCTTTTCTACTCAGCTGTTCCTCCTGCCCCTGCCTGCTTCTCTCCCCCATCGGTCCTGATTTCTTCAGGGTGAGGAGGTGGTGGTCGGGGAGGAGAGGGTGCACAGGGGTGGGCGCTCACAATTCAGGAGTGCTGGCCTGCTCGCACGTAGGCTCCCCAGGTGCTTCTGGTTGTGTCCTGCGTCACTGACAGGCCACCAGCATGTCAGGGAAGTAAAGAGAGTATGTTGTGCCTGCCTCAACAGGGCCACAAACAGGAAAAGCCCTGGGAGCAGCCGTGCCTGGCCGGTGCTGATAAGCTGGAGCTCTCCCCGCCCTGCTCCGTGTCACCCCACACGAGTTCTGGGAGCAGCCGTGAGGACGAGGACAGTGAGAAAGATGCTTCTGCTCCAGGCCTCAGCCCTTCTCTGGGGCCTGGAGGTTCTGACTCTGCCTGCAGAAGCCAGAGGGAGGACGAGGATGCGTTAAAATACGTCAGGGAGATATTTTTCAGCTAAGGGACAATCTGTTCACTGGATGGTCTGCTGAGGGCAGCTGGAGGACAGCTGGGCTTCTGCTGGGGGCTGTCCCCAGGGCGCGGATGGTGCTGTCTGTGCTCCCAGCTTTGCGTCAGCCTGGGCCTGGCAGATTCACCTCAGACCAGAAGCCCCGGGACGCTTGGGGCCTTGGGGGCTGCCGTTTTGAGTGTATGGAAGTGAGGACTCAAAACAAGTTTCTGTTAGAATTCCTCTCCGCACTGTGCCCTCTCCCAGCTCAGAGGGTCTGGAACGCCAATTGTCTCTTTTATTCAGTTACCAGGTTCCAGGGAAAATGAGGGCAGGTGTTCCAACTTATTGGAACCAAAGAGAGAGACAGCTTAATAACCATCAAGGAAAAGGACATCTGCTAAGTACACTGGAATTCCTACAGTTTAGTCAGTGTGATCTCTCCCTAAGGAAGAAGCCTGTTTTAAAAATAGTTTCCACCCCAAGGCAATCCACCAATGAGCTCTCACGCCTGCAGCCAGCCTTGAAGGCAGATGGGCTGCCTGCACTGCTCTGTCCGCCTGGGAGCTTGAGGCTCACACAGACTGGCAGGCCAGACGGGCCTCCTCCCCGAGCTGCCACCTTCCTTCCACCTGCTGGCCTCCGCCTTGGTCTGAGAGCCCAGAGGAGACGCTGAGAAGAGATCACGCCAAACTCCACGTTTCTGCCTCTCTATTCAGTGTGGCTTTTGATAGGCATAGAATTAGTAAATCATTTGCTCTACAGGTTTTCCAATATAAAGGTGCTGAAAAATACATGAAGTTCCCCAGTGCATGAGTTGTTGTGCTTGCATCCTGTCCCATTTGGGTTGTGAAGTGAAGGGGTACAGCATGTGGGGGGAACACTTAGCCTGTTCGCCTTCTCCTCCTGCCTGTAGGCTTGGCATACTCCTGGGTCACAGAATTGGAAGGATTTGACTGCTGACTCTGCTGTGTCTGGCTTCAGGTCCAGGGGTCTTTGGGGGAGAACCTGCAGCCCTGCCAGGGCTTCTCTTTGTGCCCCATGTGTGCTGTCTTTGTTGAATCCCCAAGAGATCCTTCCTGGGCCTTTGGGGGTGGAGTCCTGGTAAGGGGCATTGTGGTCTGCTCGCCACAGACAACAGAGTGCAAGCTTGCTAACCAGGGCTAAGGGACATTAAAGTGATCTCTTTTGTTGCCATAAACCTCTACTGGCATTTTGCAAATCAGCTTGGAAACCTGGCCCTGGGACAGGAATCCTTACCTCCCCACCCTCCTGAGGCTAGAGTAAGAACTGCTCAGATCAGTTAAAGCAGGAATTGTGTGACAATGAGTTTTGTGGTTTTAGGGTATCCTTGGGATCACTGGACGTCCCAAAGGACAGACAGAACTACACTAAGAAGCCACAGGTGTCCCAGCCACCCTTGCTGCCTCTTGGCCCCCTTGGCGCTGAGGGCCGTGCTCGCTCCAAAGCGGGCTCCCCCTGTTGGAGCTGGAGATCAACATTAGCTATGGAACATGATGGCGGAGAGGACCTGCTAGGCCACGAATTCTCTGGCACCTTCTCAGTGGAGTTGGAATGGACCCCTTGCAATCATGCAGCCTTTGGACAGGACTAGCAGCTCTCAAGCTTGCTCTTGTCCTTCTTGGCCCTCTGAGGGAACAGAACCGTGGCTGTAAGCAAGACAATGAGCAAGGTCTGGGCAGTGCCCAGAGCTAGACACCCAGGCCCCAGGAGGGACAGCCTGACCCACTTCCACACATAGGAGAGGAAGAGGCCCAGGCCACTGGCCAGCAGCACAGATGCCGCCTCCAGGAATCCCACTGCCAGCTGCCACTCTCCCTCATCACTGTTGCACTGGGCCAGGAGGAGAGGCAGGGGGACAAAGAGGGTGAGGACCAGGGCCCCGTACACTCCAAGCCTGGCCAGGGCCAGGCCAACCCGAGGCACCCCCAGGGCCTCCAGCTCAGGGAACTGATGACATTGCAGGGAGCCTGCATCCTCGTTCCACAGGCAGAAGTTGTAGAAGCCAATTCTCAGGTTGGGCAGGTCAGTGAGGTTGCCGGCCTTCCAGAGGAGAGCATAGAATAGCAGGGAGATGACCACAACGGAGAGGATCATGATGCTCAGGAACGGCAGGTGGTCGCTCCGCCACAGCCTGGGGACGGCCATCTCTCTTGCTGTTTGCAGGGGTACCTGAGGGGAAGTCACACCAGTGAGTGTCCAGTGTCTTCGCAAGCTCATGCTTTCCCTTCTGCCATTCCATAAAAACCTGTGGAAACTTTCCCCCCAATCTGCCCCCACCAAGGACAAGCAATTCGAGGTAACCTAGAGCCAGGACCCCCTTGGTAAGTCACCAGCTGCCTCTCTGGTTTGAGGTCAGGAGGAAAAGCCTCTCCCAGGCAGCTTGAAGGCCTGAAATGTCTTTACTGAAGTGCCCTTTGGTCAAAGGCTTTGCTGCAGCCTAAATCCAACAAGCCATTGGAAACATTTCTGAGAGAGTTTCTCAGACCTTTCTCAGAGGGCAGGTTCTGACTGGGGTGAAGGACAGAGCCCACTGTACTAGGGACCTGAAGGTGGAGGAAGGTGCCGAAGACCTGGTAGAGCCACGGTTCTCACCATGGCTGCATGACAACCACCTGGGGAGCTATAAACACTATCCCTTGCTGGGCCACAATTCAATCAGGTCAGAACTTCTGAGCTTGGGGCCGGCCCTGGTGTGTTTTTGAAGCTCTGCAGCGCATTCCAGTGTGAGCTGGGCCAAGGACCACAGCGCTAGCCCCACTGTAATTTCACCTGCCTGCCCTGGGAACTCATTCCTGGGTCAAGACAGGATGCCAACTGGTGATGGAATCACATCATAGCACTCATTACTTCGAAAACGTCTACAAATTTTTCCTGGTAACAATAGTAATGTATGTAAATAGTAATATAGGAAACAAACTATTTTTAAAAGAAAAAATAACTTTTATTTCGTCATGTACATAGAACCAGTTAATATTCTACCAATATTTTTTCCTGTGTGGATGTATTTTTAATCATACTGTTGAACATAACTCTTTTTTCACCGAATATTGTGAACACTTTTCAAAGCTGTTAAATATTGTTTAAAAACATGATTAATGGCTGCTTAATAGTTCACGTCATAGAATTATCCATTGCAATATTATTAGACAAATTGTTTCCATTTTTCACCATTATAAGTGATAGTGGAGATGCTTGTACAAGTCTTGTTTGGAATCTGATTTTTCCTTAGGGTAGATATCTAAAGGTGCAGTCACTGAGTAAAAGGTAGAAATATCTTTTAGTGATCTTCCTGCATATTGCCAAACTGACCTACAGAAAACTTGCTAATTACAGTCCCTGTAGTCATATATAAAAATGCCCATTTCACTATACTCTGTGTTTTAAAAAAATCTATTTTTTTTCGGGCCGACCCGGTGGCGCAATGGATAGTGCGCCGCTTGGGAAGCGTGGCAGCGCTCCCGCCCGAGGGTTCGGATCCCACATACAGACCGGTTCCTGCTCACTGGCTGAGCGAGGTGCGGGAGCAACACCGAGGGTTGCGATCCCGTTGCCGGTCCCCGGTCCGGTACGGGGGCAACCCTGGGGGTTGTGATCCCTTGGCGGACATGGAAAAAAAAAAAAAAAAAAAAAAAAAAAAAAAAAA